TGCGATATTGAATTTTGTTGCTATGGTTAGTGGGGAGATTGAATGTATAATTGTTGTTTGGCGATGGAATGGAGAATGGAAAGTGTAATATTTTTGTAGTTTTAGAACGGAATGGAAGTATTCATTTATCGAATGTTACTCGTTCAGATTCATTTGTTTGGTTGTTTTGTTCGTAGAAAGAGGATTATTTTGAACGGAGTGATTTCTGGTGTAACCGATCGATCACTGTTGTTGTTTGACAGACATATCGATGAATTATGAAAGTTTGGCAGTTAAGAGTTATTGAGGATTATGTATATCGGTTTATTAGTGTTGTGAGTGGTGGATAATGGTTAGTATTATTAGGTTTATGATATTGTGGTTATCGTTGAATGGTTTTGAGTGTTATTATTAGTGGTATCGTGAGGAATGTTTTGAAATTATGTGCTGTTTTGAAAATTATTGTTATCATTATGAATGTGAGTGTTATTTGTTGATAAGTTAGGTGAATGATTGAGTTTAAGATTATCTAACCGCAAGGATGAGAAGAACAGTGAGCTATGATACTAGTGATAACTGGAGTGATCTTGAAGAGGCTTATGTACGAAAGGTACAGTAANATAAATAAACCTCAAGCGATTCATTTGACCGCAAAATGTTTCAAAAAGGTGGTTTGTCGCACGTATCCGGGTTGTGTACGGGCAACTCTGCCAGTGGTATGCGGGGATCGAGGAATTCCGAGGTCACCGAATCCCCGTCCCCGATTTTTTTCGAGCCGACAACATTTTCGGGGTCCGCGACTGCAAAGTTTCATCTTCGATTCACCCCGTCTCCACATCACACTAGTTCGATGTCTTCTGGATAGTCGTTGACATATTCGTTCATCTAATAGACACTAAACACTGTGCGCACACATTGACTTGCTGAGTGAACTCTCTTAGCATCATTTCATTATTGTTACTTAATTGATACCTGATCGGTCGATCTGCCTAAAGACACCTTGCCTAACGACAGTTTGCTTAGAGACACATTGCCTAACGGAAAGTTTGCCTAAAGAATAGTTTGCCTATTAGGCGAAATATCCATTTAAAAACCATAAGTTAGGCAAACTGTCCGTCAGGCAATGTATCTTTAGGCAGGTTGATCGGGTACCCATTGATATGCGTTCCATGGGATTTTCATACGGAATAACGAGTTCATGCAAAATGAAGATTGAGTAAAAATTTAAGATGGAGCAGCCAAATCAAGCTGGAACTGAGACAAGTTCAACCTCATCACATAGCACAACAGCGGTTGGTATGGCATCACCAAATGCGGCAGGCAGTAGTACGCATACAACACCGAAAGCGAGACGAGTGGCGAAGGTTCGAGATTTTGATTTCGTTTGGACGTGAAGATTGTTGGTTTTGTGATTGAAGGTGCACAAAAAGAATGAACGTGGTGAGACGGCGTTGCACGTAGCGGCTCGTCGAGGTGAGCATCGTTTGTGTAAGAAGTTACTGCAAGAAGGAGCGATGGTGAATGCGTGTGACTATGCCGGATGGACACCGCTTCATGAGGCGTGTTCACATGCACATTTGAAGGTGGCCAAGGTTCTTATTAGGTTAGGATTTTGTTGGATCGATTTATCGATTGATTGATTGATTTGGATTTGATTTGATTTAAATTTGATTTGATTCATCACGGTGCTCTGACGATCAACAAATAATGACGGCTTTTAGTGGTGGTGGGAATGTGAACGCATGTTCGGAGAGTGGTGATACTCCACTGCATGATGCGTCATCGAATGGCTCTGAAAAGGTTTCTTATTCACAATTTTATCTCACGATCAGTTTCACGTGCGTTAACGTGAATTTTAAGTGACTGTAGGTCACATTGGTACGTCGCGGTTTCGATTCCCGTTCGCGGAGGAAAGTTCTGCT